AAAAAAAAAAAAAAAAAAAAAAAAAAAGATAGTCCAGCCTCATAGGGCTGTTGTGACAATTATATGAGTTAATATTCATTGAGCACTTGGTTTGGTCATGTCAGTGTTAGATGTTATTACATGCCTGTAATCCCAAAACTTGGGGAGGCCAAGGCTGGCAGATCACTTGAGCTCAGGTGTTTGAGACCAGCCTGGGCAACAATGGCAAAACGCCATCTCTACCAAAAAATATAATACAAGGCCGGGCGTGGTGGCTCACGCCTGTAATCCTAGCACTTTGGGAGGCCAAGGTGGGTGGATCACCTGAGGTCAGGAGTTCAAGACCAGCCTGGCCAACATGGTGAAACCCCATCTCTATAAAATACATATAGGCCGGGCGCGGTGGCTCAAGCCTGTAATCCCAGCACTTTGGGAGGTCGAGGCGGGTGGATCACAAGGTCAAGAGATCGAGACCATCCTGGTCAACATGGTGAAACCCCATCTCTACTAAAAATACAAAAACATTAGCTGGGCATGGTGGCGCGTGCCTGTAATCCCAGCTACTGAGGAGGCTGAGGCAGGAGAATTGCCTGAACCCAGGAGGCGGAGGTTGTGGTGAGCCGAGATCGCGCCATTGCACTCCAGCCTGGGTAACAAGAGTGAAACTCCGTCTCAAAAAAAATAAATAAATAAAATAAAAGACATACATATATATATATATATATATATATATATATATATATATATATATATGTGTGTGTGTGTGTGTGTATAAAATACAAAAAATTAGCTGAGCATAGTGGTGGGACCTGTGATCTCAACTACTCAGGAGGCTGGGGCGTGAGGATCATTTGAACCCAGGAGGTGGAGGCTGCAGTGAGCCAAGATTGTGCCCCTGTATTCCAGCCTGGGTGACAGTGTGAGACCCTATCTCAAGAAAAAAGGAGGAGGGGCTGGTTCAGTGGCTCACTCCTATAATTCCAGAACTTTGGGAGGCTGAGGCAGGTGGATGACCTGAGATCAGGAGTTTGAGAACAGCCTGGCCAACATAGTTGAAATCCCATCTCTACTAAAAATACAAAAATTAGCCGGGCATGGTGGTGCACACCTGTAATCCCAGGTACCTGGAAGGCTGAAGCCTGAGAATAGCTTGAACCGGGAGGCGGAGGTTGCAG